AAAGTCATGTTCTTGTTGTGAGGAGAGTTACTTTTATTTAAAATTGTGCTCTGTTATAAAGAAATGGTTGTTACACATACCACAGTTATTTTTACAATTGTCTGAATCTTGAATATCCAAAGTGTGAAATGTTTTATGGATTTTTGTTTGTTGTGCCATTCAGTAGATGGCGGAGGAGTTTTGGTTACATACATAGATACTGACATACGTGCTACATCCATTATAGTAAGATAATTCAAATTATGATGACTCACCTGCATTGTCTTGTATTTATTATGATTAAAATCCATCTGCCATTTGCCCAGCTTACTAAATGATCTAAATTATTTTGTAAAGCAGCAGCATTCTTTTCACAGCTACCAACAACACCTGAGACAAGATTTTCCATTAGTGAAACCATTTTGACTATCCAATATCCTTGATTAGTCTTTAGAATAATAATATTTCCAAGTTAGCAACAGTTATAATACTGAATACATTACTAAGGTTTTGTCTTTTATAACTTAAAGAAATGGGGTTGAGTCATTTTCAAATAAATACAAAAAAACTAACCTATAGAAATTATAGATGGCTTTCATTAACCAACAACCTCTGTAAAATATTTTATTAAGAAATGCTGTTCAGTTAAATAGAGTGACTATACTAAGAATTAATGGTTGCAGGTAGAAGGAAATTCATCAGAAATAAAAGGTAGTTTTCTAATGACTTTAGAAAAAGTAGAATAAATTTATTGTTTTGTGCACCAGAAGAGAAATATTAAAATTATTAAGTTTTTTATAAAAAATCCTTAAAATCACAGTTATTTCTATAAGCATTAAAAATCTATGTATCAGAAAATAAACATGTCAATGCATGCAGTTCAATGTTTGATATCTGTATTTAAAGAAAATCTAATATATATTTACAATTTCTCTGTCACTTCTATTATTGTTTGCCAACATCAGAAGTGCAGTCAGAAAGTAAAAAAAAAACAGTCAGCTTTGTTTTGTATCCATTTCAGGTTTTTATTTTTAGAGCATTTGAGACAAAATATGAACAATATGATAGCTCTAAATGCTACTTCATTGTTTTGAATTTGGAAATAATTTCAAAAAGTTAATTTTTCTAACACCATAGGGCACAGTGAATTGTTTAGTGTTAATATTTACAATTAGAAACTTGTTCTGAAAATATTAAGGAAGCAAATCAAAATGACTCTTAAATTTTATTGTAGTGTATTTTGACACCTTTATTTTTTGAATTCCAGATGGCCTTGCCAGTGCTTTACAGAAGCAAAAATTTAGTAGTTTGACCATTAACCTGATTGGTAAGTATTGCCCAATACCAGTGTTTGTTTCATATGAAAATAAAACTATAATGGTGGTGTAAGTGTTATCTGTAAATATTTTATATTGCAGTCTCACTGACTACTGAATAATATTTTCAATACAATTGCTTTATGGAATTTAAATTGTCAAAGAAAATAATTTTTCCCTCTTTGGCAAACAAAGATGTATTTTAGAATAGTGTTACTTTCAATGCTATTAGAAACTGTATGACCCCTGTTTGTTTTGTTCTCACAGTTGAAATGCTTAAATGCATGAAATTTTGTACAAACTTTCTGGATAATAGGTGCCCCCCAGAAGCTTATTACTCTAGAAACCAGGTTTTTCTCTCCAATTTCTTTAACCATTGGTTAAAATTTTTTTGGGCGCAAGATTTATTAGTTACTGTCCACTCCTCTTGCTTTGGCAGCATAAAAGACTCTAAGTTCAGTGTTCTTGAATTGATAATTGAAAGAAGGAAAGTTACATGAAAAACAAAACCTAGAATTAGTCTATTTCTAAGAAATGTCAGGGTATTTTAGGATGGGTAGAAGAATTCAAAAGAAATGTGTAAGAATTTTGTTTACATGTGATACATTTTGGAATTGTGCAGAGATCAAAATTTAAAAAATTCATATATATTTTTCTTTGCATGTTTGCTAAATAAATGTTACAAAATATCTATTTTTAGATGTTTTCAGTTAACAATTGTAGAAATAGTGTTGAATTGATTTTTACTTAAATGGTGAAATATTTTTATGCAAATGTCCCTTCTCGAACCCAGCAAGCTGCCCATTCACCCTAATAAGGTTGTCATCAAACAATTGACTGTAACTAGAATATTTTGTTTCTTTAAATTTTTGTAATCATAATACAACTTGTGTGTAATAAAGTAATTTAAGGTCAAATCTAATGTATTCTTAGCTTTTTAAACTAGAAACATGATATGTGTGTTGTTTCATGCTTATGTTTTTAATATATAAAATAACAGCTTCTGAGGTGTGTAATTAACAAAACAAGCATTCAAAAACCACACAGCTGAATTTTCACATTGTATCTGCTGTGTCGCTTATGGATGCAACATTAAAATATGAATTTCCAAAGTTTCTGCTAAGTTTTAAAAATGGAAACTATTTCAGTTCATGAACATAAAAAACAATTTCAAATATAAGAGTATCAGGCATGTCCTTGTGGTTAGTGTGACAGGCTGCAGACTAAAGGTCTAAGGTTTGAGCTGAGATATGCAACTGAGAATGCTCCATATTTTTAGTTTGAGGCTTTATAATGGACAATCAAATCTGCTTTTAGGTTAAGAGCAACTGCATTGTTCCTCTATTAAACAGTTATAAATTAGATATGACTATGCATGAACTTTGGGATGCCTAAACTGGTTGTGTTCAACCCCATGTTTTGAAAATATCAAATAAGATATTAAATTATGAAAACTTGCCTCTGCCAAAAGCATTTGTTATTCTCTTGGCTAATTGTTTTGTAGATCTTTCTAATATTTACTTCTTTTTAATGGCCAACATTTACGTGATCTAAAAACTCTTCTGTAATGGACAGAACCCTTAGGGCTAGTCATTGGAGTTGCGACTATACTGTCGATTACACCAAATTTATTTATTTGAGGATTGCAGTGGCATGTGGAGCTCACAAGTCCCTAACTCGAGGAGATTTACGGTTAGACTAAAGAAACTGATCCTGAGACTGGTATTCAAAACAATACATCAAATTTATTTATGTTGCTTAACATAAAACACACTTTATTTAATCATTTATTAACTCTTCATAAAAGAAAATACATTTGGGTTAACAACACTAATGCTTATATCTCGTAGGTAACACCAAGTTTCTTAGCTTTTATATACTTTGTTAGAGTCTGTCCAATTCACATTAATTGATTAAGAGAGAAATAGTTTCATTACTTACAACATAGTTGATCTGGTAAATCTTTGTAGTGGAGAAACCTTCATAGCTTCTGGCTTATCAGTGACTCTGGGGAGAATCTCAATTCTTTCTGGAGAGAACTGATTTTTAGCTCCAGAAATGAGTTTTTTTAACCATATTTTCTTTTTATTTTTTCAACCTTCCAAATAGTATTCCTAACTACCCACAAGTAGTTCTAACACTTTATTGGTCAATCTGTGCAACTTCTTGAGCTATTCCAAAACAAGAACCAAAACTCTCAATTAATTGGTTACTGTGATGGTGAGTACTCTGGTTGCCTTTTTACTTGTACTATTACACTGTCTGGAGTAACAGATCTTGCATCAAAGTGCCGATTTGAGATGTTATCATAAACTTTTTAGTAGCCTTTACTGTACTACTAACTCGGCGTCAGTAACTTGTCACTGTCAAACTTATCGGCCTCCCAGCGGTATGTCTGCGGACTTACAACACTAGAAACCGGGTTTCGATACCCATGGTGGGCGGAGCACAGATAGCCCATTGTGTAGCTTTGTGCTTAATTCCAAACAAACTTATGGCTAGCGTTTTACTCAACATCTCTGTTTAGCTTCCTTTTTTATAACTCTTAACTCGTGATTCTCAATACCACTTAACCAGCTAGCTGTACTTTCCTAGCTTTTGACCTTATTTCTTAACACAGGCATCTTTTACTTACTCTTTTTTTTCATGTATATGTTCACATAAAAACTCAGAAAATCATTATAACTTCTTTCTCAAATTCTTTTAAAATGCTGAAAATACTGAAGCAATTGGAAAATAATATCCAAATAATATAATATCCAATTGCCTCACTTCTTCATGTGGTAAACTCTCATTAATAGTCACATACATTAATTGCTTCACTTCTTCATGTGGTAAACTCATGAATAGTCACATACTTTAATTGCCTCACTTCTTCATGTGGTAAACTCTCATGAAGAGTCACATACTTTAATTGCCTCACTTCTTCATGTGGTAAACTCTTACGAATAGTCACATACTTTAATTGCCTCACTTCTTCATGTGATAAACTCTCATGAATAGTCACATACTTTAATTGCCTCACTTCTTCATGTGGTAAACTCTCATGAATTGTCACATACTTTAATTGCCTCACTTCTTCATGTGGTAAACTCTAATGAATTGTCACATACTTTAATTGCCTCACTTCTTCATGTGGTAAACTCTCATGAATTGTCACATACTTTAAATAACTTTAGATCATTCTTAGTAAAGTTAAATTATTTATTTTAAACTTAAAAT